TTTTTATCAAGCATGAATTTTTCGTGGGGGGCCCCGGCCGCCCTGGGGGGCAGCAGAAAATTTTCACGCCCCGTAGCTACAGGGGGCCGCCGCCCCCGCCGGGCGCCCTGTTCAAGACTGTCGCTATTCATGCGCTATGGAATGGAAAAATGTGTAGAATGATTTCTGAAAAATGTGAATGTTAGTGGCATTTTGTGGTGAAAGTGGGAACAAGACATACACTTTAACATAATTCCGAGTATGTTGAATCTGATAAAGCTCCGGTTTCCAAGCGAAATCTGAGTTTTTGACCTCCCCTCAATTCTGCATAAACAAATCGCCGCCAAGTTGTCATTGCTTGATCTTTTTTAAGCCATTTTCAACACTAGCTTTGTAACCCAGCATCAAGCCAAATTGAACAATAGAAGTATAACCAACGTGGTTTTGAAGATCAAGAATAAGATCAAACACATTCCGAAGTAATAGAGGTGTAAACATACTGTGTCCACATTAGTTCCGTTATCACCCAGAAAAGTCATTTGTCTCCATCACTTCTCGCAAAACTAGCAACAAGCAAGCAATAAAGTGTCTTTACCTCACTATATTTTGAGGAGTCGAGCAAAAGTGATGCAGTAGTAAATCCAGATGGGTAATAATTAATTATGGAAATGAGCTATAGCTATACCAGTGATTTCATAACAATTCATCAACGTATCAATTTTAATGTTTAGGTTCCCAAACTGTACCCCAAAATGCTCTTTAATGCTAATACAGTCAGGCCGAGCAGATGGTCCTCATTCTCACAAATGTCTCTCTTTATCTCTTCGAGTATGAGGATAACCATATGAGTCCTGAATGCACCATGTTTCGATCGCCACTGTCCGAGGCGCCAGGAGGTCATGGTGGCGGCACAGTTGGACCATTCTACCAATGCCATTGTTTGAGAGTGTACGCGCATCAAATGTTCTGAAGCTGCTGGTGATGCCTATGGGTCGGGCTGTTAATGGCCATGATGTTTGTGTGTTAGTGTGAATGGCTGCCGCCGCCAGCAGCATTGGGAGTTGTTTCGGTTGCGATAGAATCTAGTGTTCTTTTGTGATCCTCCGTTTTTCTATTCCCTTTGTGGAGTAGTATTACTACTAAAAAATGTGCCATATTCAATTGTAAAACCAGATCAATGATATGATTTAATTCTATGGAGTTACGGCAATTATGCTCGATAACGAAAGAACCCCCCCCCCCATAAATATCAATAATGCGTTCATTATATAAATGATGCCGTTGGCATTTAGTTTACGGA